AGGCCTAAAAGTCACATTGATTTAATTCAATAGTTAAAGTACACCATTAACATAATTTTTGTGAAGAAAAAAGCATTCTTTTTTGGCCAAAAAATCTTGCGAATCACACGGAATTAATTTAAGTCTTATTCACAATAAATTTCCGTAATAAGTTGAACAATCTATCTTTCATTTTGCTTGGTGTGCTGGAGAACAAGACTTATCAATATTCATACATCTTCACCAAGTAATTGTGAATATTCATTGATGCAGGCCAAGGTAAAATGTGTGTTGAAAAATTGATAAAAATTGTGAGTCTCAATTAAAATTAATCGTTAATTTTGATATCCAACATTTAACAATTTTAAATTTTCCCAAACTAGAACTAAATTGCCTAGATGTTACTCTGAAGGGCGATGCTAGACGTACATGGAAAATGGGGGTTGTGTGGTTTACAGACAAGACGCATAGGAGGGAGGGGGTGAGTTTTATTTTCTTTTTTAAAACATGTGAGGCCCGCCAAGTTGTGAGAGGCCTAGCAGGCCCTGTGAAACCCCCACCTATACGTGGGGGTTTGTCCTCAATATGGATCAAGTTTTGAAAAAAATGGAGTAAGCAAGTACAATTGAGATGAAACAGAAGGATTCAAAATCCAAAGCTCAGCAAGAATATAGTGGAATGTTTAGTATTCTAGCCCATTTTTGTGGTAATGTTTCTGTACATAGGGAAAAATTCATTTATTTTACATCAGCAACATAAGTCCCAAATTTAGTTAACGACTCCACGATAATAATGTATTCATTTCATTCACATTTATGCAATGCGAATAACTCGTTATGAAATTAGGTATTTTATTTCATTCATATTTGACTAAATTTTTAAAGTTCACTTATAGTTAAATAAGTACATTTTATAATAAATAATTTTTATTCATTAAAGCTAAAAATAAATGACTTGTCTAAAAAAGGTCAGAGATGCTACATGGATAAACTCAACTTTTCATAGTCGGTGACTTATGAGAAGCTATCGTATTTTGCTCTAAATGTAGACATGCTACAATGCCTCCTCCTCCTCCTACTACTAATTAGATTGTTAAGGGTAAAGGTATGGGGGTGGTTCTCGAGCCTCCTAAGCAATGAGTCTCAGTTACCTGGGTAACTTATAGACATCTTCAGATTAGTTCTTTAGTGTTACTTACCTTAGTTACAATTTTATCATTGGTTTCTCCAGATTCCATTACTCCTAGGGTCTGTTTGAACCAAATTTTAATATGATTTTAATTTAAGTCAAAGTCAAACAATCAATATCAACCACATCTTTCATAGGTTCCACATCTTTTCAACCACACATTTCAAAAACTTTTATCACAATCCACTTAAAATCTGATTTTAATCTACACCAAACACCCTCCTATTATACCTATTATTGGGACTTTTCTGAGTTACCCTTTCAAACAACAATTATCTCTCTCTCTCCTTAGTTTGATATTTCCTTTCTCCAGACTGGGGCTTCTTTTGTTACTCACGCTCATGTTATTATTAGTGCTCCAGCAATTGGGAATTCTCTTTTCACTTAGGATAAATTGCATATAGGTCCTCAATTACTCTTATTTTTACAACTTGGTCCTCAACTTTTTTTAACCGCGCGCGCCATTCCTAACTTTTCAGATTTCTAAGCCCGTTGGCTTTCAGCGAATCTTTTCATTCATTTTGTCGTTATAAAGTTAAAAGCAAAGTATTAAAAATATGATTTTAAATAAAGTAATTAAACAAATAAAAATGAAAAAAGAAAAAGAAACAGCCAAGAAAAATAGTCCTTGCCCAAACCCTACTCATCCCTTCGACATCCCTCTCTCGCTGTCGTTGATCCCCCACTTTTTAAATTTGGAGAATAAACTACACAGTCAAACGCCCCTTCTATGTAAGATAGAGCTAAAATAAATTTTATTGGCTGGAAAGTCAATTCTATCAATTCAATAAACTCATGTTTTCATAATAATAATAATAGTTGTAAATTATAGTTATATTTAGGGAAAATAGCAATGAAGGTTACCAAAGTTTGACATATGTTGCACCTTGGTCCCCATTCTTCAAAATAGAGATTTTAATAGCACTTGGGTCCTTGGTGGAAAATCTTACCAATTTCACTAGTAAACAAACAAGCTAAAAATTTATTAAAAATCAATTTACCTTTATCTTCAAATAAACAAAAGATTGAATGAGTAAAAGGATGATTTTTAAATAAAAAATTTATTTACCAAGCTCAAGTAAAAGTGATATTGGCTACAATTATAGTCATTTGACCATGAGGTAGTTTGTATTGGGTGGAGCAGACTAGAGAAGAAAATTCTTTACTTTTATTTAAATTTTATCTATTCAAAGTGGATGTTAATACCATCTTTCCAATAAAATTATAGCTTGTATTACGAAGACCGTAGTGAAATTGTCTAATGAGGACCTAAGTACAACTAAAATGAAAGATGGGGGATGTAAATGCTAAGTTTCGAAGATGGAAGATAAGGGTATAACACACATCAAACTTTGAGAACCTCTGTTGCTTTTTATCAAGTTACTGTTGTGTACTAATTGTTTGTTTGATGTAAGATTTTTGAGTATATATTTGTGAAAAATGATTTTTTTTCACAACTGAATATTGACTCTGAAAAAACTCACCTCTCTCTCTCTGGAAAATAATAATAATAATAATCATTTTGCTACCAATCCTTCAGATTGAAGGGTGGGTGATGCAATATCTTGAATTAAGTCAAGCCCGTCTACACGTTCGTTCTCTTTACTTTTATCTGTCACATCACACGTTTGAGCATTTCAATCAATAATAAATAAATAATAATTTGTTGCAATATTCACTTGGTATTATCGATCTGCCAAGAGCAATACAACGTAACACCATTTAAGGTAATATATATTTCTTATTTTTTTTAAAGCTCAATTTATCACAGGCCGATGTCCCAAAATGGGACTCCCAGGCCGGCTCGAGGTTTTTTTGGGTCGAACAGCCAAATTGATACCCTTAGTATTTTCAGCGCTTAATATATTTCTTCAGTTTTCATTCTCTGTTGTTTATGTTTTTCTGTAATAAATAAATAAAAATCGAGGTTTTTATGTTTTAATATATTATTGTTGACATTTTTTCTACATGATATTGTCATATTGATGATTATAGGTTATGATCGTGTGAAAAAAAAAAAAATTTAAATGTAGTCAATGTGTTTTATATCATAATATGAGAGAGAGAGAGAGAGATAAGGACACATAATTAGGAGGTACATATTTGATCTCCAGTGATATGATAAAATAAAATTCACCGCTAACGTTGGAAGATAATATTACTTATGGTTCTCTTCAAGAGTCATACAATTAGAGAATCATACTTACGGTTCTTCATGCTCGTGTGTAAAGTTTTTATCTCTATTAGGGTGTAACAGTTTGCTGATTAATTAATTAAATATAGAATGAAAAGTAAATGTAAGCTGATTCGCATATGGAGCAAAAGCAAATAGACTTGGTGACACAACCATTGGCATTTTTTTATTTATTTAATGCATGCAAATATGACTCCTAGTTTACGTTTTCTTAATTAGGATCACATTTTCTTAATCTTTATTTTTTTTTGTTTAAAGGTCCATTTCGATGATTGAAATAATTAAAGGATATTTCGAGGTCATATTCAGTATTCAGAGTTTGCCTCGTTTTTTTATATCGCTCTCGTTGCCTCATTGTAAGAGTGTTTTACCCCTAATGGCAAACTCTGTCTTAGTTATTTCAAAGAAATCAACTAAATGCATCATGCTCAAAGCAAAACATGCTCAAAGCAAAACTGTCTTTGTTTGATTGCTGATTCAAGAAATGGTCCTGTCTTGTGAAATGGTTCAGGCTGTCCACCTACGACTCGTAGTACGTAGGGTCCATTTGTAAAGACCATCTCTTTTGAGATCATCTAATCATCAAGTCGACTTCTCGTCAATTCGCATTAACGTGTTGGCATGCAAATAAGTTCCTTCAGAGATTAACTGGATCGACCTACTCTACTGTGACATTAGCAACTCATCATATCAACTCATTCACCAATTACGGATTAAAACATTGGTCCAAACTTAACTACTAAGGGCCTGTATGAATTTTATTCTCAAATTCTACAGTAAATCAATTATTATTTTCAACCACACATTCTTCAATAAAATAATATTTTCCATTACATCAATAATTTTTTTTTCTTTTTCAACCATACATTTCTCATCATATCACTATTCAAAACAATTATTCCTCCAAAAATTCCTGCCAAACAAGCACTAAATAAGGGAGATTTCTTGAATGATTTAAACATCTTAGCTAATTGGAGGGGATGAGAGCTTTTGCTATTGCATTCTATTACTATCCAAACTTACTAAGCTTACCCATTAAATTTTTAAATTTTTTTCTTATTGGTCTTTAAAATTTTAAACATTTTTGAATAGTCGATGTACCTTTCAAAGTAGTCATTGATTTCTAATGCTGTCTTTTGATAAATTATCGATTTCATTTGTCACATCATTAAAATTGTTCATTGATAAATGTATAGTTGATTATTAAAAAATTTATAAATTCCAAAACGGTTCAAAAACAATGTGATATTTAAGTGGCCAGAGTCATTTCGTAACCCGATTTTCTACTCTATCCTCTCACTTTTTAGTTCAACCCAAGATCCAAACTCAACTAAACTAGTCAATTTTTATTTTTCTCCTTTTCATTTTCTTCCACAAAAAAAAAAAAAAGTAAAAATAAAGCTGCATTGACAAGTAGACTAAAAAACACGTCACGTTGGAAAAAGTCCACGGAGAAATATAGGTTTTTGTCTCTTCAATTTGTCTGAGAACATGTAATGTATATAGAAGCATCCTCGGTTCTTCTTGCTACACATTTTCCTCTGAGGTTGCTTCTCGTCTACTTCTCAGACTCTAAATGGAAGCTTCATAATAGTTGCTAACATACTGTAATCAATTCGAAACAAAGAGAGTGAGAGATATGGGAAACTGCTGGCCTAAGCCTGTAGATAATCTTCCCAGCCCCAAAAATATCAAGAACAAGACTATCAACACCAGCAAATCGTCCTCGTCCTCGTGGCCATCACCGGCTGATCTAGATAGAGGTGGTGGTGTTGGCGGTGGTCAAACTGTTCCTCCAAGTGGTGAAATCATTGGTCCAAACGTGAAACTGTTCGCTCTTGCTGAACTGAAATGCGCAACAAGAAATTTCAGGCCTAATACTGTGTTAGGAGAAGGAGGCTTTGGGAAGGTGTTCAAGGGTTGGGTTGACCCTATAACATATGCACCATCAAGAGTTGGTGTTGGAATCCCAGTTGCTGTCAAAAAATCAAATCCAGATAGCGAACAAGGATTAAAAGAATGGCAGGTAATTAGTTCCATCGATCGACTCGATATTGCCCCGTTTGAACCCTATGACAATTTTTTCTTTGACGGAATTCGATAGTAGTCTGTACAACATATATTGCACACACATTTTCCTCTGGCCGATCGGCCCCGAGGTGGGATTTCTAATATAAGTATTCGATAATCTTGGATGGGTTTGTCCTATTCTCATTCTTGCATATGAGCTTAGCTATTTTTCAGCTAAAGTATTAATAATTAATTGTGAATATATATTTATTATACATATATCTTTGAATTTATTTACAAATTTATAATTAATTTATTAGGTTGACATCAGTACTTTTCTTAACTGAAAAGTCATTAAGTAGTAATGGAAACACCTGGAAATTAATTCATCACTTATTCTAGGATTATTTTCTTTAATTGATAATTTATGTTAGGTTTATTTCGTTATTTTTTTTAATAGTATTGTGGTTTTTAATAATTAGCTATAAGTAGATAAATTATTGAGCACCAACACCAAGTCATGAATGCTGACTTAGAAAAGTCAACATCTTTAGCTTGATAATTATTGATTTCCAGAAAATATAGCAAATATCTCCATTTCTATATATTCTTTATTATTTATTTCAGGAAATTGTAAAATGTATTATACACAATATATTATAATAGTTTTATAGCTATAAATATTTTTATAAAAGTAGTGTAACAAATTAATGTAATAGTTATATATATATATAGAAAATTAAGAGATTGGTATTATTTTTGTGAAGAAAAAGAGTTATGTTAACCCCGAAAAATGGAACACAAACGTGGACAACAGATGTCGGACCCACTCACGACAACTCAAGCAAGTTCCGACACATTTTGATAGGAGGACTGGTGAGAGAAGGGGAATACATGAACAAGGGAGATGGAGTACCGACGGTAGTGTCTAGGATGATTGTTCTAACAAACAATCACCAACAAAACGTAACTAAACTTAAAATTAAACTGATAAATATAGAACAAGCAAGAAGGTTTCTTGAGCGTTTTCTTGTGTATTAGAATCAGTATTCAAATGACAATTCCCTCCTCTGCCCCTTACAATTTATAAAGACCACCTATTTGTAGTGTTTTGGCTGACGTAGTGTCCGTTGGAACCACGTGACCTCATCTCCTTGACTAAAATCTCACATCACTAAGTCTATCATATAATAAATATATTGATAATGAGTCAATCGCCCTATTCTGTATGCTAACACATGTCATTCTTTATTAAAAACGTTACATCAATCATTTTTAAAGATGGACTACAAATCTTGTAAGAGATAACTTTAACTTCAGGAAATTCGGATAAACTAAGGGCTTCTTCCGGAGGGAGTTTCGTATCTATGGTCTTCTGTGTGAAGAGTTTCAGCTTCTTCATTGATTTCTTATGTAGTGCTTTGGCTTACCGCTTCAGCCATTTAGGCAGTAATTCAGCACATGAGCTTTAGCGCATTGTCTGACTTTTTTGTATTTGATCAATTGGGTATTTGTTGACTTTCCTTTCCAAGTGGACCGCGACATGACACTTTGACTAGAGCCTCGATGGCGAGGTGTAACAATTTCTTTCTCTTTTCTTTTCGTTGTTTTTATTTCTTTTTCCTAAAATGTCTTTTTTCTATTGTTTTGATGTTATTTTAGGAAATTACATTTATCGAACTTATTTTCAATAAATTTGAGATCGACTATATAATTTAGTTCTTTTTCTTCAAAATCGGCTTAGTTCATTTCGCCTTTATTGCAAAATTTAAAACAACTAGACCTAGCTAATATTCTAAATCATCAAAAAGTTTCAAATTTTCACAAGCTAAATAATTTGTATGTTTTGCCTTGTATTCTTAACTATTCTTTGCTCGATGCAGGCGGAGGTAAAGTTCTTGGGAAAGTTTTCCCATCCGAATCTGGTCAAACTATTAGGTTACTGTTGGGAAGAGAAGCAATTTCTTCTCGTCTATGAATATATGCAGAAGGGAAGTTTAGAAAGCCACCTTTTCAGAAGTAAGGAAAAAAATATAAGACTTTTTTCTCGTATGTTTGATATGCTCGGCTGGACACATAATTGAATTGGACATTAACAAGTCTTTTCTCTTATTCTTGTACGATCTAACTTATTTTTATGATAATGTTGCATTTTCAGGGGAAAGAGGAGAACCACTTCCTTGGGATACAAGGATCAAAATAGCAATAGGAGCGGCTAGAGGACTTGCTTTCTTGCACACTAAGGAAAAGCAAGTTATATTCAGAGATTTTAAGGCATCAAACATTTTGCTTGATGGGGTAGGTTAAATTCTTTGATCTAATTCTAATTTTGTTTTCTCACAAAATAAAGTCATTTCAATCGGATTGTTTTTTCCGTTCGCTTGTAGGAATTCAATGCAAAACTTTCTGATTTCGGACTTGCCAAGTTAGGTCCGATTGATGGTAATTCACACGTAACGACTATGGTTGTCGGCACGTATGGTTATGCAGCTCCCGAGTACATGGCTACAGGTCGTTATAGCTCGAGTATTGTTTTATATCTTATGATGTTACATACTTGGTTATAGAATTATTTCTAATTAAGACATTTAATGCTAAACTTTTAGGTCATTTGTACGTGAAAAGCGATGTCTACGGATTTGGAGTGGTATTACTGGAAATAATCACAGGCCTACGGATCTACGATCAGAATCGGCCTAGTGGGCGAACTAATTTGGTTGATTGGGCCAAACCTTTGTTACCAAGTAAGAAGAAGTTGATAAAACTAATAGATCCACGTCTTGAGAATCAATACCCATCCAAAGGTGCATTTCAAATAGCCGAACTCATAATAAAGTGTCTCGAGCGTCACCTAAAACTCCGGCCTGATATGGAACAAGTTTTGGAGACTTTAGAACAAATTAGTACAATACAAATGACACAAAAGGACTTAAAAGCTCAAGCTAGGTAAGAACAACGGCTTGAAGATGGTTGTCGCCAGCATCGCCATTGAGTTCCGCTTCCAACCTACCATGGACCGGTCGAACCTAGTGGCGGAAATCTTCCATATAATAATTTATACACAAAAACCGGAGTTACTGATTAAAACTAGTAGTTGTGTTTTTACTTATACATGCCTAAGCCATTGGATTGGAAACCTATATGTATCTTGGTGTGGGCATAAAGTGATGGGCCTACATTTTAGCAGAAGTTGACCCAACTCAAGAACCCAATTATAGCTTGTTGATATTGTAGACTTGTAGTACTTTGATCCAAGAATAATGTTATCTAGCATCTGTTGAATATCAGTTTAGTTGTCAACATATTATAGATCATACTAAATGAGTCGTAATTCCTTGTATATAATTGAACTTGTAATTTAATGTCACTAATGCTACCACCTAAACTAGTATTAACACCAATGATGTGAAATAGTATTGTCCATTGTAGCACTTACTGTTTCACGCCCGTACGGGGAATGAAGTAGTCCATAAATCATTTCATTAGCTACTATTTTCTGTGTCGAAGTGCACCTTTGGTCAGCTTGTTTGCCAGTTTATAATTTATCGGTATTTCGAGGCGATTTAAGCCCATATTTGACAACCATTGAAAAGAGATTTTTTTTGGAAGAAATGAGTTTTAGAAGTGTGTTTTTGAGAATATACAGTTAAAAAATGGAAAAAATTTGTGCTTACGAACAAAATATTCTATTATGAGAATATGCGATTGGAAATGAATTTAAGAAAAAAAATTATTTTAATGGTTGTCAAACAGGGCTAAGTGAGAAGTCAACTAAGCTATCAAAAAGGAGAGAAGAAAAAAACCACTATGGCTGGTTGATATAGAACATCATGTTTCATTTCCATCTTTTCAACCAAGTATTGGGGTCTAAATGCAGCAAAGCATATAGGCTAACAAATGATCACGATAAAACTAACAAATTTCTAAAGGTGGAAATGTGCATTCCAGTATCATACACTGAAGCTCATCACACAAGAAATTGCAATAACTCAAGTGTAATGTGTGTACTCATATTATACATTATTCAATTTCCGACATACAGCTTCGAGGATTAATAGGATCGAAGCCTTCAGCGAACTTCAGAATGACCGAATTGTCATTCTTAGGACTTTTTGGCGATCTTTCCAGCCTAAAATTTCAACTCAAAATTTTGACAGTTGGATAAAACCATTGACCTTTCCTCAGATACCTGTACCAGCATTTTACCAAGAAATGTCTGCTTTATGATTAGAACAAAAACTGTTCATATCTTATCTACACAGTTAAAGAATTGACATAGTTCAAGTTAGAATCCGCACTTGAACTGTTCGCGAGGATGATTTCGGCTTCCAAACAGCATCAACTCCAAGGTAGTAGATGCTGGATGTTTCTACTCGAATCCCTAAGGACCTCTGCTACTTAAAGAGCCACTAATATGTGGTTGGGAATCCCGAAGCAAGGAGAGCTTAATTGTTTGGTTCCTAGACGTTCGACTTACATCAATACACTCCTCGAGATCAGCATCACACGTTAACAATACCCATTCAGAGTCGTCATCCAAGTATTTGATATGGAAATTGCAGGTGTCATCTATACCAAAACGCCGAGCAACTTCTCGTGATAAATCTTTGTATCCCCAATTAATTTGCAAGCGAAACCTAATTTTCTCTTCCCCATAAGTGACTTTGACTCTTAGTGCATCTCTTTCTTGAGATTGTCTGCCACGGTCTTCTGGTTCACGTGGGAGATTCTCTGGCTTATGAAGCTCCATAAAAGATACGTGGCTTTGAGATCTCGAGAGGTTCTTTGGTCCATTGCCCAACAAATGGAGATGTGCATCACTTCGGGTCCTCTTTAGTATGCCATTAACAGATTCTTCTTTAGACATTGGATCCTCATGACCTTCAACGTTCAATTTGTAAGGATTTGGCTGACTCCCGCTAGAGCAACACTGACTTGAGCTGGAACTCTGACTGCAGGAAATCGAGGGCGAATAAGATGCAGCAGCCGGGGGAATCAAAATGTCACTCTTATGCAGCCCCTCTAATGGTTTTGAATAATTTGTTGATTTTGAATTTGAAAGTGGCTTCACACTTGGGGATGCCAATTCCGGAAAGTTGCAGTAGAAGGACTCAATCTGCAAAGCACCTGAGGCACCTTGGACAGAGTCAATTACTCGCTGGATTTTCTGTAGGGAGTGACCAACCTTCTTGATCTTCCGAGATGGCCAACGCTTTATACCGTGCTGCCTGCATATCCTCTTCAAAGTGGTGGGACAAACTGGAAATAAAGAGAAAAAAATAAAAGTGAAATGAGTTGTTAAGGGATATATATCCCACATCGATAAATGATGTTGACACAGACCAATTAATAAGGATTTTGGGCTACTCCTCTTAACAAGGTTGACCTTTTAAGATGGACTCCTTAATCTTAACATGGTATCAGAGCCCATTATGCTCCAACGAGTGATTCGATCCCGTTATGACTCTAAAAATGAGCACGTGGATTTCNGACTCCAAAAGTGAGCACGTGGATTTCAAAATTGGTCTGCTCAAATAAGTCACCATCTTGCGGGAGCGTGTTAAGGAATATATATCCCACATCGATAAATGATGTTGACATAGACCAATTAATAAAGATTTTGGGCTACTCATCTTAACATGAGTGATGAAAATTGAGTTAAAATCATATACAGCAAACTATAGAAAGAGTTTAACGCCCAAAAAAAGAAAAAAAGAAAAAGAAAAAAAAGAAACTGATCACCAATTCAACAGTGATAGTCCATAGGAAGAATATCTCGAGGACATTTCAATTGCATCATTTTTCATTTTCCATTAAATTTTGATGAAAATTTTGCTACTTACCACCAAGATTCTTGGCAGCATCTTTCAGGCTCCCAGCAAAGTATTGTCGAAGAACTTGCATGGTAATGACATTCTCTGCTTTAATACGTTTCTTGTCTGTTGTTTTCTTCGTGTTTATTGAGATACCATCAGCAGATGTAGAAGGATTTCCACCCAAGACAATACCTGATCTTAAGTCCAAATCAGATGGATCTTGCTTCGATGCCAATGACATTTTGTTTGGTTTTCCATTCTGGGATACTGAAACAGCATTAGCACTCTCTTGAAGGTTCATATCACCTGAAGTTTGTGATGATACATCATGTGATAGCACTGAAGACTGCATTGGATCCACTTTTGGAACTTCTTTACTGTGTTTAACTACTGGAGGAGGATTCGCCACTTCTACTGGCAAGGCATATTCTTCCTGCAATTCTTCATCTTCAACAACGCGTAAAGTCCAGCAAACTTTATGTATAACTTTAGACAATGAAGTGAGCATCTTCTTTTGTTCTTCAGGATTCGCACAATCCATTGGCAAAAAGAACTCCAAAACAAAGTCAGCTGAACCAGTGGAGATACTCCGTAGACGTATAGCTACAGCAGCTTGTAATCCAAAAATTCTTGCATGGTGAGAAAGTGGGTACTCTGTCTTGCTATAAGCAGTTACATCAGGTGAGAAACAAGGTTGATTAGTTCCAAATGCTCTCCCAACAACACCTTGACCTTTTAGCAAGTGGTGCTCAGAACAAGCTTCATGAAAATCCTGAATACGGGGATCACCTATGTAGCAAGCAGAATCTACTGTTGAAACACAATTGGCTAAGTTCTCATCTGAGTGCCAACATCCCCCTTTACCTTGTAGCAAACAAGGAACCCAAGTCTGCGCTAATGGCAATCTGTGTGATCTACATGCAGATTTTAGAAGCTCTAATATCTCGGGTAATGCAGCTTGATAAGACAAATCACACATCTGCAATAGAACTACGTGTATTAATATATAAACATATCTCCTATGGAGAAATAGAATATTTCAGACCTAAAATTACCTTAGCTTTCTCAATGTTTGGAACTTGAAAACTCCTGAGATCAACAGCCTATAAGTAAACATTTTCAGGCTTACACATTAATAAACAATAAAGGATTCTCATTACCTATAAATATGGTAGTAAATAAGCAGTTTATCTGGACAATAAAGGCAAGATCCCTAAATGGTTCCGTACAACTGCCAAATCTTTGGAATGCAGTATGTGAAGGATGAAAAATAAGATTTTACACGTTATTGAACTAGGGAACCAACCCTGCCGTACTGTGATGTGCTTCCTGTTGTATATGTGGCTCATATAAAGTGGAACACAAGTTTACTGGATCAAATTTGCCGATATCGGAGCGGAGTGACGGCATCGGCCTTGTGGGTTTAATTCACCGTTTGTTTGCCAAGGACGTTGAATAGGTTGGGGTTTCCCCCGCGGTACGGTACAGGTGTATTTTCTTGTACGGGCCCTAAAGTCTTGTATGGGCCAGGGCTTTGGGTTAGGGCTAGGATTAGTGTAAATACTAATGATGTAACTCTATTATTCACACGGAATAAAATCTCCGCTTCGCTCTTTGTGGGCGTAGACACATCGTCGAACCACATTAAATACTTGTGTTGATTTCTCTATTTTTTTACGCTTAAAATCTAACACTTTCAATGCCAATTAAAAGTAACCCGTGAATGGAAAAAATAGCATGTCGTATCAATGGAGAGTTCTGAGTCTATTTCATTTTTATCGGATCGGTATGGAACCAATACATTATTAGCAAGAATATATGAAAAGACCATGTAATCGATAAAGACAAGAAAGTCAATGCAAAAACATCAATGGAACTCTTACATCGGTAGTTAAATATGGAGCAATAAACAAGATCCAACGCTAATGCCTACGCCATCTTATATTAGCATATAAGGAAAAGTTCAAATAAGATATTCTAGGCGGTGGGCTAGAAATTGTTATTCATTTTCCTTGACAAACAGCAAATAGAAGTGTGTATTCAATAATTTCATGACAACCCCAGAGGATTAGTCCAAGAATTGTCTTTGATCAACAATGGATGCTATACGACAAGAGTAATGGAATAGATGTTA